TCCTGGGTGGCAAATCCTCTGGGGTTAATTGTTTCTTGGTATTCTCAATAAGCCACACCAACAACGGTGCTACAGCAGCAGCAGCAGCAGACAGTGCTACAGCAGCAGCAGACGATGCTACAGCAGCAGCAGACGGTACTACAGCAGCAGCAGCAGACGGTACTACAGCAGCAGCAGACGGTACTACAGCAGCAGCAGACGGTACTACAGCAGCAGCAGCAGCAGCTGACGGTGGTACAACAGCAGCAGCAGCAGCTGACTGTGCTACAGCAGCAGACGATGCTACAGCAGCAGCAGACGATGCTACAGCAGCAGCAGACGGTACTACAGCAGCAGCAGCAGCTGACGGTGGTACAACAGCAGCAGCAGCTGACAGTGCTACAGCAGCAGCAGACGATGCTACAGCAGCAGCAGATGGTACTACAGCAGCAGCTGACGGTGGTACAACAGCAGCAGCAGACGGTACTACAGCAGCAGCAGCAGCTGACGGTGGTACAACAGCAGCAGCAGCTGACAGTGCTACAGCAGCAGCAGACGATGCTACTGCAGCAGCAGATGGTACTACAGCAGCAGCAGCAGCTGACGGTGGTACAGCAGCAGCAGCAGCAGCTGATGGTGCTACAGCAGCAGCAGCAGCAGCTGACAGTGCAGCAGCAGCAGCAGCTGACGGTGGTACAGCAGCAGCAGCAGCTGACGGTGGTACAGCAGCAGCAGCAGCTGTACCACCAATAGTAGCGATGGTTGATTGGGGTTTATTATACAACCTGGCCAGCTCGGAGACACGCACTCCACTTTCATACTTATCAATGATCTTTTTCTTCATCTCTATACTAATTCTCACCCTTATTGCTGTAGGGTTGGCACTAGAAGCTTTCTTGGGGCCCATGGTCACTTATTTTGCAGATAAAATCACCAAAAACACTGTAATAATGCGAAATGTTCTGATTGTATGCTTGGATGTTACCGCGGAGGCTGGCTGGTAAACAATGCCACCGGCGGCACATGTGAGGCTGGCTAAGGGCGCACATTGGACGCGTCTCGGACGAAGAGTGGTGAGCGGGTTTTTGAGCGGTATGCGAGGCAAAATTTTTGCGATAAAAGCGAGCGGTATGCGGATTGAACGTTATGCGATGCGTACGGTATGCGGGGGTCCACTGTAATTGAAAGCTGCTGCATTAGCAAAATACTATAAAGTGAAGTGTCGCAAATTGGGGCCTGCCTGTAATAGCAACTCCAGCCTATGTGGATGGAAAATTTTCAAGTTGCCACAGTTTAGATTTAAAAAGGATATAGGAAAGTACTGGTTGGGAAATAGAGTAGTTGATGAGTGGAACAGTCTGCCTAGTAGGGCCAATGAAGCTACAACTATGGGTTGCTTCAAATAAAGGGTAGATAACACATGAGTGAGAGGGATTGGACTTGAGTGGGACTTGCACATGAGTTAACAAGGTAATCAAAGCTTATTCATTAGGCAGCACTGAAATGGGTTGGGCAAATATTATTGTTAGTGTCTGCAACCGTAACAGAAAACGTTATGCGCCTGAAGGGTAACTATAAAAAATCACTCTTACCCTATGAAAAGACTGAAAAGAGTGCAATTTTCTCGAAAAAAAAAAATCCAAACAATCGATTATGCATACGTTTCCTGGGATATCTCAGAAGTAAGTCATTGACTTATTTCATGTTGTATTACCATTAATAATAAACAGATTGAAAGGAATTTCCCAGCAAACATAAAATTAAATGTTTTAATTTTGGGTGGTGACACTTGAAGTGTCAGTAAGGCGTGATTCCTCGATTAGTGACGAAATCGTTTACCGAGGGGGTCTTAGGCCCCTAACTCCGTCGTTAAGTGAGGAGAGACTGTATACAGTACACTACTGTATAAATATTTAATATAGCAGAAATATTATTATTATTATAATCAAAAATAAAAAAAGAAGCGCTAAGCCACAAGGGCTATACAGCGCTGCAGGGTAGGGAAGGAAGCGAGGGTATTGGGCAGCAGAAGGGGGAAGGGATGATCAGTAGGTTACAGAAAACAGCGGGGCAGGGGATAGTGCAGGGGTAGAGGGCAGCAAGAGATTGAGGTAGAAAGGGCTGAAGGCATCATCAGAGTTTGTGAAGTAAGTCAGTTGTTGTCAAAAAGTCAATGAGAGAGTCCGGATGAAAGGTGGGTCCATCAGCGAGAAGGGAAGGTAAAGAGAGAGCAGCAGAGCGAAGACGACGACAGAGGTATATTCTGCGTGCTCGTTGATAAAGTGGGCAGTCTAATAGAATGTGGCTAACCGATAATGGAACCTGACAATTCTCATAGAGAGGAACAGGGCGCCTCTCCATGAGATAACCATGAGTAAGACGAGTATGGCCAATGCGAAGACGGGAGAGAGTAGTCTCCCAACCTCGACACTGGTGACAAGAAGACGGCCGCAGAAATGTTATAAATGGTGCAAATGTAACATTAAAACAATATCAAAGATGGTTGACACAAACTCACTACCATTATAGTATGCTCCTTACTTAGCGACAAATTTGTTTACTGACGTGGTCGTAGGAATGGAACTCTGTTGTTAAGTGAGGAGAGGCTGTATAGATCTTCCTCAAAGAAACAAATGGGTAAAAATGTAGTGTGGTACAGCAGTTGTATGACAATGACAGAGTCAAGGTCAAGTGACGTAAAAGGCAAAAAAAACAACACTACTCTCAACTTGTTGGTGTCCTGTGGCTCAGTTGTTAACACACTCACCTCACACAGTGTCTGTGGCTCAATCCCCAGCATGGGTGGAAATGTTGAACATGTCTCTGTCATCTCTGCTCACCTAGCAGCAAGTAGGTGCCTGAGTGTTAGTCGACTGGTGTGAGACACATCCTGGGGGGATGAGATTAAGGACCACAGTGGAAATAAGACATACAGTCCTCAATGATGCACTGACTTTCTTGGGTTATCCTGGGTGAATAAACCTCTGGGTTAAAATTCCAAACAAATCTTATAACCATTCATAAATCGGTAGCAGTTCAAATTGATATGTAAAACATAAAGACCATGAAATTAAAAATATAGGTCAGAATTATACATGTCAAGACTGAGAAAATGTGGTGGAAGTTTTTAAAAATTTTGAGGAAATGATAAACATCATTAAAAGTTTGTTTTTTATGTAGACTGAGGCAAGCAATAATTCAAGGTGTTTATATATGTAAATTTTTTTCATAAACTGTAGACAGATAACTCACACTTCGGAGAAGAAAAGTAATGATGACATTTCAGTCTGATTTGAATATCTAACAAGTCACACATGTCAGTGTGACTTGTCAGTATAGTGGAGCATGTCACTGTGACATGTTCCACTATACATTATTGCATATACTTATGTAATAAAAATGCCCACCACATGTTGGAGAAATAGTTTCTCCTTTTGGAGTGAAATTACAGCAAACTGATATTCTTATCATGCCAGTGTGGATGACCCCATTTGCAACAAGTTCATATAAGTATGACATTCTATCAACATTTCCCTCAAAATTTAGACCAGTTACTTAAGTGATATGTATTATATTATCAGAAAACATTATTTTTTACCCAGAGACTCTTTGCCTACTAGCACAATACTGGCAGCAACAGCTCACTTGCACTTCTACACATGATTTTATTTAATCATCAATCCACACTATACTTCACCCCACAAACCACATCCCTTGTCATGTCACTCATGGTTCGATCCTTGTCACATTTAGGCAAGTTTCACTGCATCCCTGCTGTCCCTGCCCATCTGGCAGTAAAAATAGTTAATTGTGTGTTATGCAACTTACAATTGTTGGCTAAGTGAGGGTATAAAGTGCCTGGACGTATGGCGAGGTGAAGAGTACTGTATGCTCAGAGTGGGAGGGAGGGAGGGAGGTGATGAAAGTAAATGTACTCTCTCACCTACTGATCATGAACTACTGTTCAGAAAACAAATGTATATTATATAGATATACAGTTCTTGACCAGTCTTCACGTACAGTGTGAACATGAACAAACTATTGATGCATATAGTGAAAAATATAGGAAAAAATAAGTATAATTTGCCTTTAACAAAATTGTAATTATTAACTCTACTGTTTTTTGCCAATCTTTACCAAATGAACAATAACTCTCCACACATGCATAAAATGAACATATGCAAAACGTGAATTCATGAAGTAAAAAAATGGCTGAGACTAATTATTTAATTAAAAGTCTTAATATTTGCACTGATTGTAATTGCAGATAACTATCTGTAAGTCATTAATTGGTTTCAGAGTCCCAATATTGTCATTGCAAAAGATGGTAAGTTGGGGGACCCACTGTAGGAACTTGTAATCAGAAGGACATACTCACCTCAGTAAACAATATTTTTTTTCTTAACACACTGGCCATCTCACACTAAGGCATGGTTTCCCCCCCCCCCCCCCAAAAAAAAAAAAAAAAACACTTTCAGAAAGTTGCTCCTGGCATTCGTGTTGCCTCTTACAACACGCATGGATTACAGAGGAAAGATTCTTCTCTATTTTGTCATATGGAGTAATGCATTTTAATGTGAGGTAATAAATTATTGATACAGTATGTGAATTTCTATCACTTCCTTCAGAAATTTTTCCTGATAGCTGATGTATTGTATTGTATTATATTTTACCATTTTCAAAAAGGTTTTATTTTAGATGCTTTTGATTTTTTCTTAGTCATTTCTTTTAAGGGAGAGGGGAATGCCCTGATGCTGGTGAAGAGCTCTTGATCCAATGAGTTGATGCTACCCTTTCTTTCTTTTGATCAAACCTGATTACTTTGCACGACCATTATGGGTTTATTACTTCCCCATGTCTTTAAATAATTCTTTAAAAGTATTTGCTAGTGACGTTTAATCAACTTAGCAGACTTTTAGCATTTAAGAACATTTTAGCACAGTGTGTTTTAGGAAGTTGTAGCGAGTTACTTGAAATTTGCTTCAGTGAATTCTTTACAAAACGATGTCACCCTATTACAGCTCGAGGTGCGGGAAACTCCGATTTCATTCAGCCAGGGCTCATCCAGTTGCAACCAAATCTTGATGATTTTATGGACATTGTTGAACCTCTACAAGGTAAGTACCATCTCTTGAGTCACAGTGGTTAATATATCAGTTAAATAATGAGCTAAAGAACAGCAACAACTATCATAACACTGGTAGGGTTTACAAGATTCCTTATTGTGATTGTAATTCGCTTTACATTAGTAATATTTCCATAGTCTTCAATACAAGGAATATAGGGACATTGGTATACTTGGAGAGCCAACAGCACAAGCAAGGAATATAGGGACACTAATATACTTGGAGAGCCAACAACAAACAATTATTATATGATATATCAGGGTTTAAATTTTCATGCCAACAATTTGAACAATACGTACTTCCTTAAGATATATACCTGAAAAGTACTTGAATGCCTTATCCCAAATTTGCACACTTCCATAACAACATACTGGAGTGAGAAGTATGGAAAGAAGTGCAAAATATACCCAGTGAAAAGCAGGAGTGCCATGGGCACAGTAAGGGAACACTATATCAAAGTCTGTGCTCCTGGACTATTCAACATCTTACCAGATATTGCTGTTCAACCTAGTTGACTGGCTATACTCCTGCCTCTGGCCACAGACATCTGGGATCACTTCTCAAGTGAATATTCAAAAAAAAAAAAAAAAAAAAAAAAAAAAAAAGATTTCAGTAACAATGCTGGGACAAGTGTAGAGGTCTTCAAGAGGAAGCTGGATATATATCTTCACCAGGCTGCAATAGATATGTGGGCCAGTGGGCCACCAGCAGTAACAGTTTAGGTGACCAGGCAAGCACCAGACAAGCCTGGCCTATGGCCAGGTTCTGGGAATAGAACTCTTGAAACACACTAAAGGTATATCAGTGGTAATAAACATTTTTTTTTTTTTTCAACAAGTCGGCCATCTCCCACCGAGGCAGGGTGACCCAAAAAAGAAAGAAAATCCCCAAAAAGAAAATACTTTCATCATCATTCAACACTTTCACCACACTCACACATTATCACTGCTTTTGCAGAGGTGCTCAGAATACAACAGTTTAGAAGCATATACGTATAAAGATACACAACATATCCCTCCAAACTGCCAATATCCCAAACCCCTCCTTTAAAGTGCAGGCATTGTACTTCCCATTTCCAGGACTCAAGTCCGACTATATGAAAATAACCGGTTTCCCTGAATCCCTTCACTAAATATTACCCTGCTCACACTCCAACAGATCGTCAGGTCCCAAGTATCATTCGTCTCCATTCACTCCTATCTAACACGCTCATGCATGCTTGCTGGAAGTCCAAGCCCCTTGCCCACAGAACGTCCTTTACCCCCTCTTTCCAACCCTTTCGAGGACGACCCCTACCCCTCCATCCTTCCTCTATAGATTTATATGCTTTCCATGTCATTCTACTTTGATCCATTCTCTCTAAATGACCAAACCACCTCAACAACCCCTCTTCTGCCCTCTGACTAATGCTTTTATTAACTCCACACCTTCTCCTAATTTCCACACTCCGAATTTTCTGCATAATATTTACACCACACATTGCCCTTAGACAGGACATCTCCACTGCCTCCAACCGTCTCCTCGCTGCTGCATTTACCACCCAAGCTTCACATCCATATAAGAGTGTTGGTACTACTATACTTTCATACATTCCCTTCTTTCCCTCCATAGATAATGTTTTTTGACTCCACATGTACCTCAATGCACCACTCACCTTTTTTCCCTCATCAATTCTATGATTAACCTCATCCTTCATAAACCCATCCGCCGACACGTCAACTCCCAAATATCTGAAAACATTCACTTCTTCCATACTCCTCCCCCCCAATTTGATATCCAATTTTTCTTTATCTAAATCATTTGATACCCTCATCACCTTACTCTTTTATATGTTCACTTTCAACTTTCTACCTTTACACACATTCTCAAACTCATCCACTAACCTTTGCAATTTTTCTTTAGAATCTCCCATAAGCACAGTATCATCAGCAAAAAGTAACTGTGTCAATTCCCATTTTGAATTTGATTCCCCATAATTTAATCCCACCCCTCTCCCGAACACCCTAGCATTTACTTCTTTTACAACTCCATCTATAAATATATTAAACAACCATGGTGACATTATACATCCCTGTCTAAGACCTACTTTTACCGGGAAGTAGTCTCCCTCTCTTCTACATACCCTAACCTGAGCCTCACTATCCTCATAAAAGCTCTTTACAGCATTTAGTAACTTACCACCTATTCCATATACTTGCAACATCTGCCACATTGCTCCTCTATCCATTCTATCATATGCCTTTTCTAAATCCATAAATGCAATAAAAACTTCCCTACCTTTATCTAAATACTGTTCACATATATGCTTCAATGTAAACACTTGATCTACACATCCCCTACCCACTCTGAAGCCTCCCTGCTCATCCGCAATCCTACATTCTGTCTTACCTCTAATTCTTTCAATTATAACCCTACCGTATTTTTTTTCCGGGGTATACTCAGTAAAACTTATTCCCTATAATTTTTACAATCTCTTTTGTCCCCTTTCCCTTTATATAAAGGGACTATACATGCTCTCTGCCAATCCCTAGGTACCTTCCCCTCTTTCATATATTTATTAAACAAAAGTACCAACCACTCCAACACTATATCCCCCCCTGCTTTTAACATTTCTGTCTTGATCCCATCAGTTCCAACTGCTTTACCCCCTTTCATTCTACGTAATGCCTCACGTACCTCCACCACACTTACATTCTGCTCTTCTTTACTCCTAAAAGATGGTATACCTCCCTGTGTAATTTCATTTTGCATCTTTTTCATATATTTTGGGCAACCTTCCAGATGTACTCCCACCTATGCACTGCTGTGTAGTTTGACCTTGATGTGATGTGCAAGTAAGACATTAATGCTTTCCTGCTAAATGCTTTGTTTTTGGAATACCTGCACTGTTTATTATGCCTGGATGATCAACATGTACTCTGAATATAATGAGTGGGGGTAGAGGGAAAAGTTAAAGTGAAGGAGGGTGAAAGTGAGGGGGAGAATGAAAATGAGAGGGGAGGGATGAGAGAGTGAAAGTTAGGGGGAGAATGAAAATGAGAGGGGAGGGATGGGATGGGTGGAAAAGAGCTACTTTACTCTCATCATGTTTAACAAGACAGGATAGTATAGTGAAGACAAAAAATGACTGAATGAATGATGATGAATGTATACTTTTAGGGTGACCCTACCTCATTGTGTTAAAAAACAAAGATGGGTTATGTAATGAAACGTGACTCACGAAATCATAATGACATGATTGCAAACAAACCATACCACGAGCAGGGATAGAAGCTGTGGTCAGGTGACAGCTTTAGGGGACTTGAGGTAGAGTTCATCATGACCTCACTGGCAGGAGATTCATCTGTTAAAACTTGCATTTGTCATCACAGTGGTACCTATGCTAACTTTTCTGTGGTGTATAAATATACCTAGTTGAATGAATCGTATTGTAGCCAGCTGACCCAATGGCTAATGCATCGGTCTGGAGTTTTATGACTCTCTGACTGCGGGTTCTATCCTCATTTGTGGTATGGTTTATAATGAAATAATTAAATTTCTCAGCCTGAGGTTGGAGTCTTCAGTAAGGCGATGAGCATAGCATCAAATATTCCAACACCATCTTTCATCTGGTTTAGAATAGTTTTACTATTATGAAAGAGTTGAAAGATATCAACTTAGTTATTACTAAACCTGATAAAGAATGAGGCATGGATAAATAACAATAAATCAAGTATGTATTCCACTGCGTGTTCACTAATTTGTAAGAACGTAAGTAGGAACACTATACACCAGGCTTACCAGCCCATACTAGTCAGGACTTTCTCAAACCCAAACCCACTAACAAAAATATTTGCCCACCCCATTTCAATGCTACCTAATGAATAAGCTTTGATAACCTTGTTAACTCATGTGCAAGTAACACTCAAATCCAATCCCTCTCACTCATGTGTTTATCTACTCTTTATCTGAAGCAACCCATAGTTGTAGTTGTAGCTTCATTGGCCCTACTAGGCAGACTGTTAAACTCATCAACTACTCTGTTTCCCAACAGGTACTTTCCTATTTTTTTTTTTTTTTTTTTTTTTTTTTTTCAACAAGTCGGCTGTTTCCCACCGAGGCAGGGTGACCCAAAAAAAAGAAAGAAAATCCCCAAAAAGAAAATACTTTCATCATCATTCAACACTTTCACCACACTCGCACATTATCACTGTTTTTGCAGAGGTGCTCAGAATACAACAGTCCAGAAGCATACACATATAAAGACACACAACATATCCCTCCAAACTGCCAATATCCCAAACCCCTCCTTTAAAGTGCAGGCATTGTACTTCCCATTTCCAGGACTCAAGTCCGACTATATGAAAATACCGTTTCCCTGAATCCCTTCACTAAATATTACCCTGCTCACACTCCAACAGATCGTCAGGTCCCCAAGTACCATTCGTCTCCATTCACTCCTATCTAACACGCTCACGCACGCTTGCTGGAAGTCCAAGCCCCTTGCCCACAAAACCTCCTTTACCCCCTCTCTCCAACCCTTTCGAGGACGACCCCTACCCCGCCTTCCTTCCCCTATAGATTTATATACTTTCCATGTCATTCTACTTTGATCCATTCTCTCTAAATGACCAAACCACCTCAACAACCCCTCTTCTGCCCTCTGACTAATACTTTTATTAACTCCACACCTTCTCCTAATTTCCACACTCTGAATTTTCTGCATAATATTTACACCACACATTGCCCTTAAACAGGACATCTCCACTGCCTCCAACCGTCTCCTCGCTGCTGCATTTACCATCCAAGCTTCACACCCATATAAGAGTGTTGGTACTACTATACTTTCATACATTCCCTTCTTTGCCTCCATAGATAACGTTTTTTGACTCCACATATACCTCAACGCACCACTCACCTTTTTTCCCTCATCAATTCTATGATTAACCTCATCCTTCATAAATCCATCCGCCGACACGTCAACTCCCAAGTATCTGAAAACATTCACTTCT